GAAGGGGATCATCACAAAGGTCTTCATCTATGTCTTGTTCACATTGAGGAGGCTGAGGAGAAGGAGGACGAAGAGGAGGAGTTGGCCTTGCTGTCTTAAGGGTGGCAGAGGTGGAAGAAAATCTACGTATACATGCACAGTTCAAATGAGTGTTGTTTAAGGATCAACTATACCTTTCATTTAGTTATTGGTTTCATTGGTTCATGTCATTGTTTAGGTTAATTTCATATTTTTTAGTATTTCAAACTTTCTGAGAATTTTGAGGAACTCTCCAACTATATGCATTTCTATATTTCTCCCTGTAGTACTGTCAGTGGCTTCACATATGTTCAAGCACTGTTATGAGATACATCCATGTTTAGGACTGTTATGTCTTCCTTCCTGGTTGATTATTTTATCATTATGAAATGACCCTTTTTGTCCTGGAAATACTCCATGTCTTGAAATCTACCTGGTCTGATACTAATGGAGCCACTTCAGCTTTCTTATGCTGAGGGTATATGGTATATTTTTATGCTGTTTTTCCCAATATGTCTATGTCTTTATAGTTAAAGTGCATTTCTTATGGATAGCACACAGTTGGGTTTGCTTTCTTATTCAATCCGACAACATATGTCATTTCACTGGAGCATTTGCTCTGTTTATTTTAAATGCAGTTACTTAAATGATTGAGTTAGGTCTACCATTTTGCTATTTGTTCTCCATGTGTTCCATTCCTCTTTCATTCAACTTCTCTTTTCCTGCCTTCTTTTTGGTCTTTTTAATTTTGTTTTTCAGTGGTGGCCTACGGATTACTGTAGTCATTCTTAATTTATCATAGTCTATGTAGAATTAATATGGTATTTTACATAAAATATGAGAATCTTGTGACAACATAATCCACTTGTTATCTCTGTCCTTCATTTGCTTATTATACATTTTACATCTATAAATGTTATATATACCACAATTGAATGCTATTTTGCATTTCACAGTCATTTGTATTTTTAAAAAATTAAGAGAGAAGAAATACAGTATTTTATACATCTCCATGTATTTGCCATTTTTAGTACTCTGTTTCTGTCAAGTTAAGTTTTCACCTGGTATCATTTCCCTTTCAGCTAAAGAACTTCCTTTAGCATTTATTTTAGTCTAGGTCTGCTGGCAACAAATTTTCTTGACCTCTATTTTATTTATCTTAAAATTTTTTACATTGCCTCCATTTTTGAAGGATATTTTTGCTGGATATAGAATTCTGGGTTGACCTTTTTTTCAGCACTTTTAAGACATTATTCCATTGTCTTCTGGCCTTCTTTGTTTCTTATGAAAAGTTAGCAAATTTTTGAATTATTTATCTCCTGTGTGTAATGTGTAGATAAATAATTCTATCTCCTGTACCTGTGTCATTATTCTCTGAATAGTTATAAGATTTTCTCTTTGTTTTGATTTTCATCAGTTTGACTATGATGTGTCTAGGCATTCGTGTTTGGTTTTTGTTTTTGTTGTTGTTGTTGTATTTATACTGCTTGTAGCTCACTGTGTTCATTGAATCTGTAAACATATGTTTTAAATCAAATTTAGAAACTTTGGGCCATTATTTTCTCCAGTTTGTATTTACTGCATTCTCTGTCTCCTGTCTTTCTGAGGCTCTATTTATATACACATTTGACTGCTTGATATTGCTCCACAAGTCACTGAGGTTCTGTTCTTTCTAGTTCCCACACTGGATATTAATCTGTGTTCAAATTTACTTACCCTTTCTTCTACCATCTCTAATCTGCTATTCAGCCCATCTTGTGGCTTATTTTTTATTTCTGATCTTCTTATCTTTTGCTTTTCATTTCTAGCACTTATATTTGCTTATTACTCATTTTCATTTCTCTGCATAGTTTTCTATCCGCCCATTTCATACAACCATCTTTTTCCTTCAAGTCTTTGAACCTAATTGCCTTAGAGCCCTTATGTGCTCATTTCAAAATCGGGGTCATAATGGGGACTATTTCTATTTGACTGCTTTTCCCTTGACCACGTGTCACATTTCTCTGTTTTTTCATCTGATTGATAATTCTTATTGTATATTAGACATTGTGGATGGTACGTTGTGGAGCCCCTGAAGCAAGCGGGGCTTTGTTCTAGCAGGCAGTTAAATTACTGGCTGATCAGCTTGAACTTGCAGAGGCTTCGTTTTCCATTTTGTTAATATGGGTCTATTTTGACTTTGTCTGTGGTCCAAAACAAATCTCTTAGTCCTGGAATATGGTCTTTACTCCAAGGTTTCAATGGAAAGCCTGTTTACCAAGCTCCTCTGACTTGGCAGTAGCTGAGGAATGTGCTCCGTTCTTTTAGTTTTTCATCCTTGCTTTTCACAGAGCTTCTTAGAATCTTCCCCCACACAAGCACACATCTAAAATTAGCCAATGATTTGAAGGTGTGCTGGAATTTGAAGCCAGACAACCTGACTTGTGGCCTCCATGTGCTTAACTACCAGTAAGCACTAAGTTCTTCAGAGGAAAGGTAAAATGAACCCATCCTCTTGCCCAAAAGAACACCTAAATTTGTTTATTCTAAACATCAAATTTTGTTGACATTTGACATTGTCAAGTAACAGAAGCACATAAATATAAAAATATTAGTGTTTTGTGAGCATCCACATATCCCAGACTGTTCCATACATCACTATGTATTAAGTCATTCAGTCCTTACAACAACTCTATGAGGTAGGCATTATCATTATACCCATTTTTCTGATAAGAAAACTGAGGCACAAGTCATTTTAGTAATTTTCTTGGTTGCAGTGCAATAATAGGATCTCACACAGTCTGGCTCCAGAGCCTCCAAGTTTCAAAACTGCATTATACGGCCAAGTGGGGCTGAGTTAAGTATCCGTTTTTCAACCCACCAAACAGTTTAGTAGCTCCTGGTGTGAATCTAGGACAGAGCAAGGATGTGATCTTTCTGTTCTCCATCTAGGAAAGTCTTTGTTCCTGCTGCTGAGAGAGTTTGTCTTGATACCAGATAAGTGATCTTTGCATCTATTAGAATAATCACAAACTGACATTGTGTGGACCGCAAAATGCTGGGTGTGAAATTATTAAAATGTGGAGCACCACATTCACCCACCTGGGCCACTTCATGTCAGAGTGCCTGACACACACCTCATTAAGCTTCACCTTTCTTGTGTATATAACTGATTAATGAAAGACCCAGAGGTCTCAGGAGTGGGAGCCATTCAATTAAAAATTGTGTGCAGTGAGGCCACCGTGTCCCAGTGTGACTGACAGAGCAGCTATCTGCATTGCAAAGAAGTATTTGCTTTTAATTAACCACAGGCAAGTGGGACAGGACGCTTGCGCTGGTACCTTGGCGGCAGGAAGCTGGAGTGCCTGACTGTGCCGTGTGAGCCACAGAACACGGGCCGTGGCTCGAGGGCAGCAAAATATGGCATTTGCGGGAGAAGGTGAAATAACAGAAGGGCCTGATTCCTCATGGAGTCTTACTAGAGAGAAGTCCTGTTACCAAGTTAATCTCGAGAGGCTAAATCAGGAAACTACTGGGAAATACGCGTCATTTCTCACTTCAGGCAGGTCGTATTCGCCTCACTCACAGCACTGTGGAAGCACGCAGGGAAAATGAGTCTCTGATTTGTTGCACAACCGTAAATTCAAATCCATTTTGTGATCATTGCATTTGGAGGATTTCTTTATTTTACACACAGTAACTAATAGAATAATGCGTGAGGGGTGAGGGGAAGCATTTCCTTTTTAAGAAATGCGTTTACAAGTAAATGACTATTATTTCAGATTCCCTATACTACTAAAGCTATACATAGAAAAGAATATACTTATCTTGGAAATATAAGGAATATTTGTCTAACCAATTAATAAATATTTGACAAATGATGAACATGCAATAAGCATTTCACAGGTAAAAGAATTTATAAGGCAGGGCTGTTGCCCATCACCCACCCCAGGTACCAGTCTCCTTGAGTCTGTGTAACAGTAAATCAGGGCACAGAGGAGCGGGAATGGCTTTTTCTGACCTCTGCCCTGGAGTCAGGTACACGCTAAGGTGTTTTACTCATACCTTCTCTTTTAATTGCATCAAAGCTCTGATGAGGTAGGAATTAACATCCCCATTTTACAGATGAGAAAACTGACACTCAGAGTGCTGAATTTCAACAAAAATGCGAAAGAACCAGAGGACTGACCTCTGGATTTCAGTCCAGGTTGGGCCCCAAGACCATCGCATGGCCCCCCAGCTGGCCTCTGGGGAAGCCTCGGCTCCGCGTGCCCCTCCCTGTGGGAGGCTGTGTGTCCACAAGACACAGGGATAAGGTTCTTCCTGGGCCAGCGAGTCTGCTGGGAGTACCCCAGTGTGAGACGGTGAAGCAACTGAAGGCCATTCTGCTTCTTCCTGCATCCCCCCTGCCAGTGAGACTGCCTCCCACCCTCCAGACCTCTCATTAGAGAGGCAAGGGGAGGCCAGGGCAGGGCGCAGGGTAGGAGGCTGGACCAGAGGACGCTTCAGCGGCCCCCTTGGTCCTGGGCAAGGGTCCTCTCTGCCCCCGGAGGTTCGTAGGTTCTGCTTTCCTGCCCTCTGCTTGGCGACCTGGCCCCTGAGGGCTGAGTTAGAGTGAGGACCTGGGAGAATGGGGCCGAGGCAGTGTCCGCTGTAGAACACGTGGCCCACAGGGGTCTGCAGCATCTCGACAAAAGGGACCCTCAATGCCCTTGTGCCCCGGTACCACCCACCCAGCTCAGTACCACCACCCGGCTCCTCGGTGGGCTCACAGCCAGCAGCCTGTGGCAGCACACCAAGGGCTCTCGCCCAGATGTGGTGTGTGGTGGTGTGGACGGCGAGTCTCGGTGTCCGCAGGGCGCCTGGCCAGTTTCTGTAGCTCGTAGAAGGAATGTTCCTCATAGGAGAAGACTTCTCTTCCTGATGAATAACCCAGACAAAGACATTGCTGCTATTTGTGGATGATTGTATTTAAAAAAAAAACACACACACACACACACAGATGTACAATTAGTGTGATAAATATGTTAGTCTCATTTTACAAGGTGGATATCAGTAAGGATAATGCAAGGCCTACACCTGGCCACCAAAACAGGGCTGATCAAAAAGGAGGGGGAGAGGAAAGAGAGGAGCAAGGACAGGGGGAGAGGGACGCAGGATTTAGCGACTCCGGTGCAGCCTCAGGTGTGGACATGGTGGGAGGCCAGTGCCCTGAGTCTTGAGCGGGTCATCCATGAAGAGGCCGGCTGAGGAGGGGCGTGCACATAGGCTTCAGAACCTTTTGTTCTTTACATAGACTTTATTTTTCAGAGCAGCTTTCAGTTCCTGGCAAAAAGGAGGAGAAAGTGCAGACAGCTCCCACATAACCTGTTCTCACATAGGCAGGGCCTCCCCACTCTCCACGCCCCACCGTGGGCCACACTCACCATGTGCTACAGTAAGGAACCCAGACAGACACCTCACTAGCGCCCAGAGTCCGTCAAAACCCGCTGTCGGTGGGGGTGCAGGCCTCTGTACGGCCAGTGAGGCCTCTGCCGTTGTTTCCACTGCCTGGAACATCCGTGTCAGTCCTGGGAGGCCACGTCAAACCAGACACCGGGGAGGGGCCCAGGTGGGGAGGGAGACCTAGACCCCCACACATGGGAAACTTCTCAGAATTCAGACACATGCACCCGCAAAGAAGGAGAAAAAAGGACATGAAAGAAAGGCCCTAGGCCACGGTGGGCCATGTAGCCGGGTCCAGCGGTGTCAGAGACTGCCGTGGGAAAGGGACTCCCAGGAGGAAGGAAATGAGGGCCAGGTTTCTCCAGGACCCGGGATACACATCCCACTCCACCTGTCCAGTGACGACAGGGAGCACCCCACGGGGGGAAGCGTCAGGCTGTGGAGGCCCCTGGCTCTGTGTCAGTCCGGTGTGGAGACACACTCTGCAGGCTGTCAATCACCAGAACCACAGCGTGGCGTCCGCAGGTGTTCTGTATCGGGGACGGTGCCGGACCAGGGCTTGATGCCACAAGCATTGAAAATGTTTAGGCAACCCGGAAACACTCGGGCTGGGGGCGATGGAGGTGCCTTGGGAAGTTGAGAATGGCTTTGGACACAGACTTCTCCAAGCTGGCCAGAGTCCGTGCCACCTGGCGAGAATTCATTGGCCCTAGTGTGGTGGGCAGAGGGCTGGGGAGGAGACAGGGCTTCAAGAGTTAAGTTCAGGTGGTTTGTAAGCCTGACGCCCCCCACCATCCAACACCTTCCCCTTGAACACAGTCTGGAGAAGCACTAATTGCATCGACATGTTCCTGTTACTAGCACCAGCCTGCTCCCAACACACACACACACTAACACACGCACACTAACACACACGCACACTAACACATGCACACTAACACACACACTAACACACCGCTTTACTAACACACACACACTAACACACGCACACTAACATACACGCACACTAACACATGCACACTAACATACACGCACACTAACACACACACTAACACACGCACACTAACACACACGCACACTAACACATGCACACTAACATACACGCACTATACACACTAACACATGCACACTAACACACACAGCACACTATACACACACACGCACACTAACATACACACACGTGCACACTAACATACACGCACACGTGCGCACACTAACACGCACACTAACACGCACATATGTGCACACTGACACGCTCATATGCACTAACATGCACACGCACATGTACACACACTCATACACACACTCTCACATACACTGACACACACATTGACCACATAGACACACACATACATGCATGTCCTGTCCTAGTTACTCTGCCCAGTCTTTCCTGTGAGCCCCTGCATCCCAGCTCTTCTCTGGTTCTTTGCTCTGCCTCAGTTTACCTCCCATCCCACCCAGGGTCAGCCCAGCCAGGCTTCTCTTTGTAGTATACCTCTGCCCTTCTTTTGATGATCATTTATGGTTTATGTCCAGCTAATTGCAGTGAGGACTTCAAGTAACCTCTGCAAGTACATAAAAGGTATTACAAGGAAATAGAAACTTCAAATATAATTTTTCAATAGTGGAAATGCAAGCCAAAATGTCATATGAACTATTTAAACAGAATTCAAGTGACCACAGTATGGGAAAGTGAACCCCCTCCCCTGCAAATAGGCCTCACTCCCCCGCACCCTCCCTAACCCCACAGCACCTCACTCAGCGTCGCCCATTCAGACACAGGCAGCTGCACCCTCCACAGGCAGGGACCATGTCTCCCAACTCCCAGACACCCCTGCCTCCTACCACAGAGCTCTCAGATGCACCGTAAATACGTGTGGGATGAATGAATGAGTGAATGAGTTTCAGCTGAGACACAGCAGCCGGAAAAAAACAAGTAGCTGTTTTATTCCTGCAGTTCTCCTTGGCAAGCAAAATAGGATCCTTTCAGAGAGAACCTCCAAAATGTCCAGGGGTCATCTGGGCAGAGCATCTTCATAACCCATGCGTGCCGAAACACAAACAGCTTTTAATTGTTGAGGCATTATCCCCTGAGAATCTAATTCTGATGGTGAAGGTTTGACAGTGTTTCTTTGGAAAATACAAAAGATCAATCCCATAAAATGCATGTGGATGGAGAGGTCTTTAGTTCTTTGCTAGAACTTGCTAGCATTTGAAAAAGCACACGGTGGCGATTTGTCTTTATTTCATAATTGACACAAAACAAAAACCCTCTAGTGATATTTGATAGGAGCGAAGAGCCCTCTACTGGCAGGCGAAGGGAACTATCCAACAGAACTGGAAAGTTCAATTATGAATTAATTAATGTAATTGTCCATGACCTCAAACTATCTGTGGGTAATTTCAATGAAGCCTTTTCATAGCTAAATGAAAATTAGAAAAGCAAAGGATACCATTTTTCATTAGCAAATTGGCAGAGAGTTTTTTATTATTAATCCTTGTTGAGGAGAAGAGTGTGGAAAGCCAGAGCCCTCATTTATTCCTGGGGACAGTGTAAACAGATGGAACCCCCAGGAGGGCAGTGCGACAGCACGTGTAAAAACGACATGCACAGAACGTCCGGGCGCCTCCACCTGGAAGCCTCTCCTGGCAGTCATTCTAAGGAAATTCTCAGCCAGGTGCCCTAAATAAGTACTATTTGGAGTAGTAAAAGATGGAAACCATCTATACATTCAAAAACAGGGCATTAATTAGAACCCTAATCCTGGTGCTTCCGGTTAAAATTGATAATGGAGAAATAACTTTCATATGACATGAACAAAGCAGCCCATAAAGCAGTATGTGTTGAACAAGATCCCGTTTTCGTAAAGGATCTGTAAGGACAGGAAATGTTCGACGGTTGATTCTAGGTGGAGGGAGAAAAGGTGTTGTTTATGCCATTCTGTATATTCTGAGATTTTTACTAAAGAACACTGCTTTTCCGCAAACTGTAAGAGCAGATCTTATTCCCAGCAGAGGTGCCTGCAAACATTTCTTGTGTGGCCTGCACACTTTCTGCAGCAGCAGCCACCCTGCCCTCTGGTGTCTGTGGTGCAAGGAAGATGAGCCCTTCTCCTCCCAGCCCATCCTCCTGCCTTCTGTCCCTAGCCCATGCTATCCCCAAACATTTCCTGGGCACTGACTACCCCAGCGCCACATCCTCCCCAGGCTTACTGTCTGCCCGTCTTTCTGCAGGAGCTCTCCCTGTCACCTGGCTCTGTTCCCTCCACTCCCTGCCAAGGCCACTAGTGACCTCCTCATTACCAAACTCTCTGGCCAGCATGGGCCACCGTTGGCCGTCCCCTCCCCTGCTTGTTGGCCCCCTGGTTTCGAGGCTGGCTGTCCCTCCAGACCCGCCCCTTCTCTCCACAGCTGCTGCCCCTTGGCAGCCCAGACCTCCTCCTCTATCATCGTCTTCCCTGTGTGGCCCTGGGCTCTCTGCCACCCTCTCCTGGCCTCATCCACTGTCCCCCTTTACTCAGGAATTCCTTCCATCCACTCGAGGCGTCCACTGCTGGTGGTTTGCTGTGGCCTTGGAGGCCTTTCCGGCCCTTGCCTCTCTCCTCCTCTCTGGCCCCAGCAGCCCTCCCTGCCTGCCCCGCTCTGCGGGGGCTCATGGCAGCCGACACTGACCTCATTACCATCCTCTGCACATCTAGCATCGAGCCCCTTCCCGCAACCCACAACCCACCGTTATCGAATCTGGCCAGTCCTGCCCTCCCCATCCCGCCCTGCCTTTCCCCCGCTGCAGGCTCTCATCTTCTCCCTGCAGCAGCCCCGCAGTACCTTCCTGCCTGGGCATCGTCCTCACTGTGCCACCGCCCACACCTGCCTGCTCCCTGAGGCTGGCACAGCTCCCACCACATCCTCCTCTACACACTCCCCAGAGGGATTTTTCTGTAACATAAAAAGGATCAAAGTTCTTGATTTAAGTCTTTTCCATGCCTTCCACAGCCTCTAGGATACAAGCAACCTCTGTAGCGTGGCCACGCACTTTTCTGACCCCTTCCAGAAGTGCCAGGCACTCCCCGTGTGCCCCAAGTGAGGACACCTCACCCTGTGCCCTGGCTCCTGGCCCGAGCAGGGCGCTTCCCCCAACTTCAGACCATCTGATCTTCTGGAGACCTTGGAAGGCCTATCTGCTTTAACCGCTATCTGTGGTCTCCATTCCTAGTTCCCCCCACCTGCCCACTTCTCCCCCTTTCTGTTGTTGGTGGCCCTCACTGACATCCTGATTTCCTTGGAACACCCTCAACCTCAGGTCTGCTCTCCCCTACCACAGGTGGGCTCCTGGAGGTCAGGGACCCTGCATTATTACTCTTTGTGACCTTGGCACCTAGCACAGTGCCTGGCACATCAAAGCTCTTCTGTAAACGTCTTATAAAGGAAGAAATGAAAGAACAGCCTTCATTCTACATTCGGGGCCAAACCTAGCAAAACCTTTCTTCCCCATGGCAGTCTTTCACGCATTTGAAAGCAGCAAACTTACCTGCCTCCAGTCTTCTCTTCCCCAAGAGAAGCAGCCTCTGTCCCTTTCATCCCTCCTGGACAAAGCAGCTTCCATGCGACACTGCCTCAGTTTCCATGCCTGTCTTCTCCATGGTCAGACCTGAACATGGTCACCAGGGGTCCCATGACCAGCAGCCCCCCCTCAGCTGCCCTAGGGGAAGGTCAGGAAAGCCAGAGATCCGAGCTCTGGAGGGTAAGACAGTGATGGCTTTAGGATTCTTCCTGCTAGGATGAAAGATGGTAGCGGATGATACAGGTCAAGGGTAGAGAGACACTTTAGAATAGGCATCCCGTCTCCCCTGGCAATGTGGCGGCCATGCAAGGCCTTGTGGGTGCTGGGCAGACCCAGATCCCACTCCCACCTCCAGCACTTACCAGTTGCTGAGCCAGCACATGACTCACCCCTCACCTGGCTGTGCCTCAGCAGCCTCATCTGTGAAAGGGCAGAGCCGCGGGGTGTGGTTGGCACACATGGAGCATGTATCCAGCGACGATGGAAATGGTGTCCTGGACGCCAGAGCACTTTGCAAACAAACGTTAGTTGTATTGTTACCATCATCCGAGAACACTCTTGGAAAGCGTTTTCTGTTTTGTTTGGTAATAATTGAGCCCTTCCAAACCACATCAGTCCAGAGTGCCCCATACAACCTGTGTGTCCCCAAAGCTGGTGAACTAGGGAAAGGAATTCCTTCACAGGTGTGTGTTAAAAATACAGGAAGCATGGAATTCCCCCATTAGTTCTGAAGGAGCTCCAACTTAAAGGAACAATCACTGACGTCACAGTCAACAGAACGGTGCCGCCGTTTTCAAAACAACTGGTTTAGAATCAGATGCTGGAAACAAGATTGTGAGTCTCAAAATCATTCCAAGTTAGTACGATTCCTGTTTCAAGTCTGCACAGCTTCGTTTGTTAAGAGCAGAAAGAAAAAAGTTAACGCTGAAATCCTTGGTATTCACATCTGCAATTCCCATCTGGGTTGAGAAAATAGAGGTCCCAATAGGAACTATGGAAAACCCATTGCTTGCCACGTGGACATCGTGCGAAGTAATCCACAGCAGCCACGAGTGCAGTCAGCTAAGACGAGAGACGGTTGTTTTTGTTTTTGTTTTTAACTTTTATTTCAGGGGTACGTGTGCAGGTTTGTTGCACAGGTAAACTTGTGTCACAGGGCTTTGTTGTATAGATTATTTCATCACCCAGGCATTAAGCCCAGTACCCAGTAATGATTTTTTCCACTCCTTTTCCTCCTCCAAACCTTCACCCTCAAGGAGGCCCCAGGGCCTGTTGTTCCCTTCTTTGTGTCCATGTGTTCGCACTGTTTAGCTCCCACTTATAGGTGAGAATAAGTGGTATTTGGTTTTCTGTTCTGCATTAGCTTGCTAAGGATAATGGCCTCCAGCTCTATCCATGTGCTTGCAAAAGACATGGTCTTGTTCTTTTTTATGGCTGCATAGTATTCCATGGTGTATATGTACCACATTTTCTTTATCCAATCTGAAGAGACAGTTGTTGATGTGAAGATGATTTCTCCATTGATTTCAATTCTAAAACTAAGATTCTTAAGAGGTACTGAAAAAAATAAGGTCTTGCCTTGTTATTACAAATTATCTTTTCTCTAAGAAGTGTAAACCTTTTTACATACAACGTCTCATGTTCTTATTTACTTTGGGGCTGAAAGTAGGGAAGCTTCTGACTTAAACTCAAAATAGCTGTAAGGGAACAATGGCCCCTTGGAACTTGCCCCCTCCTCACTCTTCAGCTCCGTCCCTTGGCAGCAGTGCCCAGGCCATGTTGGAAGGAAATCGGAGGCTTGCACCAAGGAGCTGAGAGAATGGAAGACTTGGAGTTGAAAGGGATTAGCAAGTGCCATGAATAGACTGTGGGGTTGTTAGGCATGGGGAATGAGACAAGGGTGGATACCCAGGCCTCTGGCTTGGGTAGGAGCAGAGTCACACAGGGAACCGGCAGGAGGCAGGATGGAGGGAGGGAAGGTGGCCTCCTGAGGCTTCCCATTCCATGTGGGAATGGGAACCTCTGGCCTGGAGCTCTGGATGTGCATTTGGGTGTGGTCAGCACGTAGACACCAACCGAAGCTACCAGAGTGGATGAGATTAGCCCTCAAGGTGGTATTGAGAGACTGCAGAGAAACCAGGGCAGGGTCTTTGGGCACCTGTGCCTAAGCCAGCGCATAATAGACATCTCTGCTTCCGGGTGGGGCTTCCTGACCATGGCTGCTCTTCAGCATCATCTGGGGAGCTTTAAAAACTGTGGACGCCGGACGACACCCCAGTCACACCAGAATCTCCAGGACTGGCCCCTGGAGGTCGTATTTTCCAAAGCTCCCCGGGTGATCCCAGTGAGAAGCACTGAACTGTCAGTGAAAGAAAGAAGCTTCCCTCTCCAGCTCGTGCTCCGTCCCTCCTCTCTTACCTGCTACTGTGAGACTCCGCGCACAGGGATCTCTTTTCTCCAACTTTCAAGCACGTGTTGTTGTCAACACCACCTGGTGCTGTTGCTCCTGACTGGGTGCGCTTCCCGGTTGGAGTGACCCTGTTCGGGCAGGACCTATCCCGTTCCTCTTGCTGCCCTTGCTGCTCTAGCGGAGGGTATGGTGCCCAGCCGGGATCAGTATAGCTCAGTTCAGTGTACAGCGTCGAGCTCCATTTCCAAAGGCCCTTGAGCATGCCCTGCATTTTCTCCTGGATTTCCCTCCTGCCGCGACTTTCTCCTGCACACTGACCAGAACTCAGAGGCCCCTTCGAATCTACATTTTATGCAAAAGCTTTCTTTGTAGAAGCACAGAGTGTTTAAGCTAGAGAATCACGTAATACTTTGCTGTGATCTACCAGAGAGCTGATTTTATTAAGCTTTTTTTAAAAAAATCAAAGATGAAGAGAGAAGAGGAGAGAGTTCCTTTTTCCTGTAGCATTTTGTCTGTTTCATTGATGAAAGCTCGGGGGCAAAGCACCCGGCTTGGTGTTTCTCCTCATCAGCTAGTCTTCTCGGCTAGGCTTTGAAATAGACTTGCTTCTCAAGTCCACTGGCAGGTGCTATAGGTAATAACCTACGCATTGATTTGAGATTTCAGATTTTGATTTATTTTTATTTTTTTATTTTTTGCCATAAGTTATTGGGGTACAGGTGGTGTTTGGTTACACGAGTAAGTTCTTTAGTGGTGACTGGTGAGATTTCGGTGCACCCATCACCTGAGCAGTGTACACTGCACCCTATTTGTAGTCTTTTATCCCTCACCCCCCTCCCACTCTTCCCCACAGGTTCCCAAAGTCCATTGTGTCATTCTTAGGCCTTCGCATCCTAGTGAGAATATATGATGTTTGGTTTCCCATTCCTGAGTTATTTCACTTAGATAATAATCTCCAGTCTCATCCAGGTCATTGCAAATGCTGTTAATTCATTTCTTTTTACGGCTGAGTAGTATTCCATCGCATATACATACCACAGTTTTTTATCCACTCATTGACTGATGGGCATTTGGGTTGGTTCCACAATTTTGCAGTTGTGAATTGTGCTGCATGTGCAAGTATAAACACACGTGTGCAAGTATCATTTTCATATCTTTTCCTCTGGGTGGATACAGTAGTGGGATTGCCGGATCAAATGGTAGTTCTACTTTTACTTCTTTATAGAATCTCCACACTGTTTTCCACAGCGGCTGTACGAGTTTACATTCCCATCAGCAGTGTAAAAATGTTCCCTGATCATGCCAAAAAATAAAATCCTAGTGGCAAGGCCAAAATAAAATGCCCACAAATGCAGGTCACCCCTACATTCAGCAGAAAGAAGGGTAGGAGGTCTGGTGCTCTAGGTTGCAGTCAGCCAAGATCGCACCCCTGCACTCCAGCCTGAGTTTGATACGTTGGCATGCTTCTGGGGTCTTGCGTCCCTTCTCCCCTGATTCTTCCCTTGGGGTGTGCTGTCCACATGCACAGTGGCCTGCCAGCACTTAGGAGGGAACATACACAGTGTATTTACTGGTATCTGACGTAGAAGTGATGGCCCATGAAGGAAGAGGGCGAGGCCTCTGGGATTTAAAGATGAGGGTTTGGGTTTTGTTAGCAGCAAAACGTATCCAAGTCATGCGGCACCAAAGTATGTTAGCAGTGGCAAATCCGTACGGGCCTGCAGCAACCTCAGTTCTCGCCTCCTCAGAAGAAAGAATTGGACCAAGGAGGCAGAAGG